GATCACACAGCTCTGAGGAACTTGCTTCTACTGTTACGGTCTAGTATACGTGGGACGAACGTATTTTTACGCGACAGTGAGTGTATACAGCGTGTATAAGAGAGAGGGGGTTGTCACCTTCGAGGTTTCCTCCTCTAATCCCATTCCTTCACTGTGGGCAACAAGCTCAAGTGTTCCTGCGTTTCCTTCTACACGCAGTATACACTAACTGTCGCGTAAAAATACGGTCGTCCCACGGATACTATACCGTAACAGTAGAAGCAAGTTCCTCAGAACTGTGTGATCAGTCGGAGCTCGACACGCCAATCTCCACACTCCCACTTCGGGATCCGCCATTCTACCATCCACGTATAACGACAGCTTAGTCATCCTTAGTAACATCGCTCTCCATTAACGGTAGCGGCACCTCATATGAGGCTTTGGATCTGACGCCACTTTGGAAGGCGCTGGCACAGCTGACGAATACGGCACTTCGTTGAGGAGATAATTTTCATCGTTTAAAGAGATAATTTCATCGTTGAACGGCTTGAAGATGAACGCGATCGTCGACTTCACGGTGGTGCTGTGGCTAACCAACATGTCGATTCTTTATCATCAACAGATGACCTTCATCTTACTAGAAAACGGAATATCCGGAACGCCTATCGAACGAATCACCGAGTTATTCAATAACTCAGCTAGCTTGTGAGCTAACAAAGCACAGACTCGGCGAGGCTTACTCCACCAACACAGCGCCGAGCCGACTCTTATCGTGGTTCGGAGTTGGTTATAAGCGCCTGCCTACTGAACAACATTGCTGATTTTAGTCGGGTAAGCTATTTCTCGGTCAGCATAATTGTTTTAATGTCATGAACGGAACTCGCTTCCAAACGATTCAGAGTCGTAATATTCACTCTCGTGAAGCTATATCTGACGATAAAATAATCTATTGTGGTACAGTCGGATTCCTAAGGAGCACATAGAAAACGTTTGTTGAGATTGCAGTTTCATTCCGAGAAAGAAATCTTGATGAGAACAGTGTTACTAAAGCAAGAGCTCGAGCGAAATCATGTATGCTGAATTTCCCGATCCTTCAATGGCTTTCCTTGTTCACAGATGATTCATACCATCCTATTTTATTTTCAGTGAATGCGATTAACATAAGCCCATTCTAAGCTACCAGCTGTACATCGTTACGAGTGTCAGACGCTTTCAGGACGATTGCCGTCGTAATGAGCGAGATCGCGGTGATTTCCACACCGTACGCCACGTATGCAGGAGCGCCAGATCCATCGTCCAGTGCAGGCATTCCGATAATACAATTGCAATCATATTGAAGGTCCATGCCAAAATAAGCTATTGCTACAAAAACTAAAGCTTAAGAAATAAATAATTGACATCAATAGTAGTGTATTGGAAAATTAACTACTTAGATGTTTGGCACTGCACATTACTTTGCGTTCACGATAGCTGCTACAGTGTTTGCGTCCCAGAAACGCCGATTCATCTTCAGGAACAACACGGTTTCAAGGTGAATAGGCAGCATACGCTGGCGATGGTGGAAAAGAGTATGTTTCGCCACACTAAAAAGACGCTCCACGGTGTTTGACGTCGGCGGGATGAAAAGCACACCATCAAATATCTTCTTTGCACCGCGCCGCTTTTTTTCTAGTCGCCAAGACTCTGTCGGCAAAGCCCTGTGGGCGTCCGTGCCTTGTGTCCGGTGTCGTAATTGCAGGTACCGTCTCAAATGGCTGCAACATCAGCTCCTGGTCGTTCGTCAGCTCGTCCACGGCGCCTGACAGGGCTACAACGCACGCTCGCTCGAAGTCCACGTATTTGCGTCGGCAGCAAGATACTTTTCACAACGGAATGCTTCTCGATGAGCGCATCAAAGATATCGCGCACATCGAGAAGCGTTACGTTGTCGTCTTGAAGCTTCATGGTGGCCGACTGGAAGTCGCCAAGCTGGCAGTAAAAAAGTAGCTGCAGACTTGCTTGGTCGTGAAGGTGTTGGCGAGAGCCATGGTGAGATCAAAAATGATAGACGAGAATTTCCGGTTCCTGTTTTGAGCTTTCGTTGTTCACAGCCATTCGATTCTGTCTGGAGACCGAGCTCCGTATTTACGCAAAACAAAGCAGAAAAAACTAGATTTTACGAAAAAATAAAGTACTTTGCTGTAAATACAAAATAACTAATTGGACAAAGTCATCCAATTTGTAAAAATCAATAATTAAGTGTAAACTATTGTATTGAAGCAGCAATACAATGATTATTTCGGAATGCCTGGTCCAGTGCCGTGTGGACATGAGCGGCTTCGTACTTCAATTGCAGCTAATAAAATGACCAATGCGCTCTCGGTCGACGCGAACGCGGCAGCTCTAATGCTTACGTGTCCACTTCACGGCGGCTCCGCCACATTTACCAGATTTCACTCGAGTACTAGGGTTTGCTAGCGCGATGTCCATCATTGTGGTCGATGTCGAGGTGGTTACCACACTGTACGACAAGTACGGAGCGAAGACCAAATCTTCAATATAGTGAGATGTAGGCGTCACCACCTTGTTATATGTCCTCCGGCAAGGACAGCCACATCATGGCCATCTAGGCGGAGGAGATCAGATCCGCTAATTGCATCAAGGCCAACGTAAGTGAGGAAATAGAAAAATTCGCAATCAAAACTTCCAACGCGGTCTCTGTTGTCATGGCCAAGGCTGTGGTGGCTTCCTGGACAATAGCAGCAGCTACCAAATGGACATATGCTCCTGGTCGAGGTAAACCTCAGTGCCAACGCTACGAAGCCGACCAACACTAGTAATACCTACTACACCATATCCACTTCAGTCATTTGAGCGTGAGAAAAGCGCTCCCGTCTGTCTAGTCATCGGTGCGTTATCAGGTAAAATGACTAATTACTTTGTGACTAGCGCAGCGTACACCAAGTGCACGACACGCCCACCTCCCAATTCAGTGTAGCTTAGCTGTAAACGAGCGAAACATAGTCAATTACAGCAACCCACGATATGCTAATAATGTTTACCGTCAGTCCCACGGCGTCGTGCGCCTCAGCAATAGGATGATGAAATACAAGTGGGTATTTTGACTCGGTTACTTTTGTGTTTACACTTGAACCGTTTGGCGGTGGCCCGGGCCACCATAAAGGCCCAGCACCCAATCACCCTAAGATAATACATATGCTAAACTGAAGGTAGTTTTGCAGATGCACATCAAAAATAAACGTTTTTGGTCCGTCAAATCAAGAACAGAGCTGGAGGAAGAGAGGTCGCCGGACGGTTGGGAACGCCTTGTCGTGTAAGACTAAGGACTTTCCTCGGCTTGGTCGTGCTCTGACCCTTTCCACTTCGAGTCGAGTGAGCGAAACGTGCTCTGCAGCCGCTTGACTTCGGCTTCGCCAAGCCTAGCATATGCTCGCTGCAGCGGTGTAGGTTTGTGATGTTGTGTAAGAGCTCGCTTGGGTTTTGCTGGAGTCGAGCCACCACCGCCACCTGGCATGGCGCCCAACCCGTTAGATCTTTCAATTCAGCCCCTTAAAAAAAATTGTTAGGTCAGATTGGCGATCTTTTTTTTTGCGACGGCCCGGGCCACAACCAAACGGTTCACGTGTAGCACTACTAATTGCGTCGGACATTTTGCATGGTTGCTCGTCTTTTTATGTTTAACTGAATACTTTCCAGTCGCTAACAGCCGCGCTGGGCTTGACTGGGCGACCTTTTGGCGCCCCGATGGCTCGCGAGCTATAAAGATAGGATTCCTTGGCAGATGCAGTGCGCGGCTCGCTGAACCCGCCTCGGTAAGCCCGCACATCCCTGCTTCACGGGATCCCCGCGCGGGTAAGCTGCGGTCACGCTCTTCACTCCCGCTAGATTTAGTTGGTCCGGAGCGATGACGCACCTGGATCGCCCATGTACTTATTATCCAATTGGAATTTAGCCTCAAGTAACAATTAAACGTGCACAAGTATCCGGTTACAAATGCGGAAGTACTACCACACTATCTTCCTTGGGCTTATTGACATGGATCTGATCAACGCACTCATCAGTTTTCGCCGTATTTAAGGTGACCGCACAGCTGGTTCAACTCAACCAACGCATGCGCACTTTATGCGAGCGATGCAGATATCCCCGCTGGCTGTTGGCGCATCAGATTTCGAAGGTGACGTATCGATTCGCGCGCTGACTATCACGCCGGTATTCCCTTCGCCGACTCCGAGATACAGATTATCGACAAGCCGTACAAATAAGCAAGTCAGAATGTACCGTACGCCGCGATACAAATACGGCAACGAATCAAGAAAGCGTCGACAGTACGCTTGCAAGGTATGATTGTTACTGCGACCGACGAGGGATCCATGGGAAACTACCTTCTATTCAGTCGAGTGTACCGAGACAAGATTTGCGGGGACACCCGACGACAGTTCAAGTGCTAAGAGCAATATCTATCTATGTCGAAAGGTGCGACAGCACGATCCGACTGCGGCGACACACTCTGCCACCTACAGCCAAATTTGGCACGAGCTTTGGGGAGGCGGCACTAACATTCCACCGGGGTTGAAGACGATCAGGCTGCGTGCTCCAGCAGGTAAAGGAGCGCAGGCGTCCGACAGAGGCAAAAATGTCCCAAGTGATAGCTCGGTTGGGATGTGATGGAGGGTCGCAAACTTATGGCGTTGTGCAGACCCTCATGACGAAATCAAATAAATGTGAATATACTTGTGAATGAAGGTAGTTGTAAATTTAGTTTTTTTTCTACGATTACATGAACTGTAGCTGGGAAATTCAGGATACAAAATCACCTCTTCTCAAAATACGCTGTAATACCTACGATAGATAGCCAGAAAAAGATTGTGACCCCTACAATCCTCACAAAAACTCCGCAATAGTTAAGGACTTACAATCTAGGAATGCGGTTCCGTCTGCAGAAATCTGTAGGTCATTTCGTTATCCTGTACAATACAGGATAACTTGGGTAAAAAAACGCGGGGTTAGAGGAGCTAAAGGTCGGACAGATTCGGTTCAAATTCAACCCCCTCCGAACGTCCCCAAAATTCTTATCACCGATAATAATGTCGCTGGACGGTCATTCGAGCTACTACCATTTCGTTTAGGGCACTCCTGTAAACAGCTCGTTGGGTACATCGTTACCTGCGTTCGTGGTGATGTGGAGCCCGTCACCTTCCCCAAGCGCCAGCTACAGGCTACAGACGTGTACCACGATTGCCAATTGTTACAGTTACATTGTCGCACAACCCGGGGTGATCCGGAAGCGGTAAGCTGTAGAATGAATTGATTGAGCTAGCACGTTAAACTTCCACTTGCTACTTCCTTAGGCAGCCCCTGTGGAGCCTTCCTGTCCTACGCTCAATGTCCAGCGCCATCATTAGCGCGACATGCACAATATGCGGAGCAATTATCATAGCCGTCAACAAGCGGTGAATTCTGACTTCACAGAACCTGTTCAAGGTGTCTTGGTCGTTATATGCTGCCAGCCCGTCCAGGACAAGCCCGACTGGGTGATGGCAGCGCGTTGCTACTGCTGCTTCGAGCTTGAACTTCTCTCTTCTACACTGCCCTCGAGAGCTCGAGCAGCAGGGTGGCAGCACTACATCAGCTGCTGCTGCAGACTCTCTTCACCCGAGTCCAGAACGTAGTCTTTCACCTTGTCCGGCACGCCCTTGAGTAACTCTGTAAGCACTTCCCATGAGTCCTCAATATCCTGTAGTCCGCGCCATATCACTCGTAACTCCCAGCGCTCAAGTTAATTGCTGTAGCGATGGTCCGTGAGTGCATCCACACCCAGCAACAGGCCTTGCTGAGACGTAAACTCCAAAATTTCGGCGGTCACATTGAAGTCGCGATCCGCGTAGAGCTTAAGACGAGTCGCATGTACTTCAAATTTCGGGACGTCACCAAATGTTTGATCACAAACGAGTGTGGGCGTGACTGGATGATTTGAAATGGTCCGACCCATTGCCCCAGCAACTTGTTGTTGCTTAGCCGCTGATCCACGCGTGACCAAAGAACAAAGTCTCCCACTTCGAAGTTGCACGCCGTTCCTTTGTGCGCGACCATGTCCTGCAATCGCTTACGTTCCTTTTCATCCAGGACTTCCTTAAGTAGCCCGTGCAGCGACATCCGCAGCTTTTCTAAAAACCCGGAGGCTACTTCCATGTTCACCGTAAGCAGATCCTCGTGTCCAGAGGCCCTCCGTACCACACAATCTAACGCTGAGGGCGCTTCCAGTCCGGTAAATAACTCGATTGGTGAATGGCCATTGAGAGATCGAACGGGAGTATGATTGAGGTTTGCAGGCAGCAGGTAGCTCCACCCATGGAAGTCCAGTCCATGCTCGATCAGTAGCGCCCTCATGACTTGGAACACGTCCTTATTCAGGCGTTCAACAGTCCCATTGAGCCACGGGTGATACACTGGCGAAAAGTTCTGCTGAATCTTGAGTCGCGTGCACAGGAGCTCTATCATGTGGTTGCGAAAGTGAGTGTCCTGATCCGACATCAAAGTTTCTGGATACCCAAAGCGCTTGTACCATTCAAGTAGCGACTCAGCGGCAACGAATGCCGTCGGCGACTGGCATGGAAACAACTCGCAGTAATGGGTCATAGAGTCCTTCATCACGAGCACGTACGCAGTGTCTCCGTAACTCTCGCCCAGGTACAAGAAATCATAATGCACGGCTTCATTGCGCTTGGTAGCTGTGTAGGTTGGTCCGTAAGGCCTCGTTATCTGCCTCGGGCCTTTCATATGCTTGCAGAGGAGGCAATTTCCGATAAAAAATGCCACTTTCTTGGTCAGCAACAGGATGTGAAACCTGTCTTCGAGCACGGTGCACATTACATCTTGTCCTCGATGGCCATGCGAGCCACAGTGAGCAACGACAAAAATTCTAGCCAGGAGATCCTTGGCTGTAGACGGAACCTAGGGCTTGCCACTCACCATCACCACCCCTCCTTCCTCATAGGAGGGCTCACGAAGGCGTTCTCGAGCCTGGCGTCCAGCTACTTCTTGAGCCTCCCGAACATCGTCAAGTGTTGGAAACACAAATTCCAGGTCTTGCAAAGGCCGCAACTGTGAAATTTCCGACACAGACACGTGCCGGTCGCGGCGTGTACGAACTGCAGCTGCCGTGACAACCGTCGACGAGCGCCAGCGCGATATAATATCAGGAAATTGCCAAAAGCCTTCGGGTAAATCGAAACGAGCGAAATACTTAGACCCACGCACAGCATCGAGAACTTCCCCTTGCGTGGGCATCCGACCTGCCAGTGGCACTGTTTTTGAGTTCACCACGTGATAATCGATGGTGAGCCTGAATTGATCCTCAGTACCCGGCTTTCGTACAGGCACGACAGGACTCGCCCATCTAGACGAGTTGTTCTTCCTGATCAAGCCTCGCTCGAGGAGTTGACTGACGTATTCCCGAATGAAGGTTCTCTGAAGAGGCGGGTAGGGCCGCCCATGACAGCGGACCGCCCCGGTACCCTCCTGAATTGTCACCTGCCGTGGCTCAACTTTGGCTGGTGGACTGGGGCTTGCTTGATTTCCCCAAATGTCATCGTACTTACTGAGCAGCAATTTCAACTCATTATGTCGTTCAACTGGGAAACCATTCTGCACAGCTTGGTCGATAAATCCCATTTGAGTAGCAGCCAGTTCTGTTCCACTTTGATCTCGAGTAACAAGTAGCTCATATCCCACAGGAAACTCATCCTCCTCCGTCGGTAAGATGGAAGACCCAGCTAACTGAGCAAGCATGTCCTCAACGCTAATGCCCAACGATGCTAGTGTGTCACTACCGACAAGTAGCTCGTCATCCTCACTGGTCATCACCAGACATGGCACCTGACGGACATTAACGACACCGGCCGCTGTTGTCAGTTGCAAATCCAGCAGCACCTCCTTCGCGCAACTGGTCGTCCTCCCGTCAGCCAATATAACAGTCACTGGCTTGGAAAGCTGGCTGGCTGTCAGTTGTGGAGCAGTGCATGCAGTGCACCAGAAGGGATAATACTGCGGTCAGCCCCAGTATCCGCCAGATAGGGCACTTCAAGTACATCGTACAGCCTCGCCATGTACCTGGTGCATCCGGCACCAGCTGCCTTTAACCGGATTGAGTCTGCGTGCAGCTGCTTGGACTCTCTGAATTGCTCTAATGCGCTCCTGCGCTGCTGTTCCGTCGCAGTGGGACACTCTCTCAACCGGTGGGGCCCCTTACAGAAAAGACATCCCTCCGCCGGTGGCACATATGGCTTTGGGACACGGACAGTAGTACTCCGGTTCCCTCCACTGTTCCGCTTGCCCGGCGTATACTTCGACTGCTTGGATGACGGTGGCGGAGCTGGTTGCTTCGGCGCGACCGCTGCAGCAGGCAGCGCCGGTACTCCCGCCTTCCTTTTAGCGGCTGCTGCACTATCCTTGGACTGGCTGAAAAAGCGTTGCTGTGCTTTGGTATGCTCCAGGATGAGATCGTAGAAAGCAACATCGTTTGTGCGAAAGTCGCGCCTCTCAAACTCGATCAGCCTTTGGACTTGGTCCTGTAAGAGCATAGGCTGTAAGTTCTCCACCAGTAGCCTACACCGCTTCTTCAAGCGGTCCTTGTTACCAGGGTTCGTAGGGCCCGCTGTCCCTATTAGACTCTGCAGTCCGCTCTCCTCCACGACGCACGTGAAGTCCTGTAAGTACTGAAAGACACGCGCGTCACAGTCATCTACCGAGAGGTCCATCCGGAGCTCTCGCTTGAACAGCGTCTTGATGTCCGGGATATACTCGTTCTTAGGCGTTTGACAACGCTGACGGACGAGTTGTAGGATCTCTTCGTCGTGACCGACTCGGTCGGCTTTTCTTTTAAAAGGAAGCGGGCCATCGTTTGCAGAACCTCAGGCTTCACAGCTCC